ATATGCATTGCGCCCGTTAATTTGCATCGATATCGCCCAACGAACCCGTGGATTAACAGGGGAGTCCAACTGTGGCGATTCCGATTTCAGATGCCGAAGTCCAACTCAAAGCCTTTCCCTTTCGATCTGAGATACCACAAAGAGGTAATTATTCATCCGTCGCGGCCTCAGCTGTTTTTGATGATGGCCTCTTTTGTGCTCAAAAATTTGCAAAATTTTATAGAGCCCGTGTAGCAGAAATGTCAGGCAGCTCAGACTTTTGATATCGCCGATTGATAGTTAATCATCCGAGATGATCTTTTAATGGTTTAATGGTTTTTGAAAGTGGATTAAATTGAGGCCGATAAGCTCCAGTTTTCGTTTTTCAAGCAGTTCATTACGCATTATATTATATTAATTTAATAAGTGTGTTTATCGATTGGTGCCAGCTTTCGAAATAACTTGTATACAAAGTTGAGAGTTTTGAAAGCGATTTGCTTTACCGACAAAAATCAATAACACAATTATAAAATATATCAAATTGATTTTTATTTCTATGTATGTTGTAAAAATAGAAATGATTATTAAAATCTATAATGATAAATCAAAAGTCCATTGAAATGAGCTGGTTTGGAAAACCGGAAACACCAATTTGAGCAGTGAATAATGTCTTACTAGATTCCTTTCCCTTTTTAAAATGGAACATCTTCGCCTTGTGATTTCTTGAGTTATAATCTATAAATTAGGCGCCATTCTGACACTTTTATATGCTAAACCCCCGCCATTCCATTCCCATAAATCAGATTTCCCATCGCTGCCGCACAATAAGCTAATTGTCTATGGGATACGCGTCGTATGAGCAATACCGCGAAGTGAGTAACAAGTGCTACCCGAAATAGGAATCACTTAATGGCTTATACTCACTTTATACATATAATTATATTTGCTCTGGCTTTGGCAGTGGTCAATTACCTTGACATCCCTCCGGTTGTAGTAGTAATCCATTGTCAGGCGTATTTATGCATTATTCCCACATATGAAGGTGTGGATTTCGTTTGACAAAAACAATTAACCGCAATTTTCAAGTTTTAGTTTCTTCTTTGATGGCAAAATGGCAAATAGTTTTCACCGTGGTAATTTCACTAAAGCATCGAAATTTATAGACACATTCGGGCAAACGATTCGCGATTTGCATATGGTTCACATTTCCATTTCACACACCCCTTTTTTTCACTCCCAAGTCGTTTATTTGTTGTTGTTTTTGTTGTCTGCACACTTTTTGTGTTGTGATTACTTTGCATATTGGTAGCGTCCGCAGTCTTGGCGTCTTGTTTTAGCAACATCATCATCACAATCATCATTACCTTGCCATCGCCTCGCTTTTACTGTCGTTTGGCTATGGCGTTGGGAAGATGGGGATGACTAAATTTTTGCAGGCAGCAGCGGCATAGTCATACCCATACCAATACCCATGGCAACATATCGTATTTAAAATAGCGTTAACATTTTAAAAGCTTTTCACTGACCCCAATTGGTGGTGTGCACACACACTCCCCACAACCACACACTTTTTCCTTAAAGACTCTTGACTCTTAGGGGAGAGTGGTGGTTAGTACACAGGCGAAAACATCAATCACTGAGGTGAAATGGTCAGCCAACATCAAATAAGAATAAAACATATTACTTGCTTCGAAAACAAGTGATTGAAGAAAAGCTATTTTGTTAAAAGGGCGAAAGTATCATAATGATAAGACAGCTTGTTCTTGGGCCTTATGAGTTGGCAATTCTTTAAGCTTTCAGTTTTAATAATATAATAATATTATTATTTTCGTTTTTGATATTACTACTACTATTAAAGATTTGGTTTTAATAGAGCTTTCTTAGGCTCTCATATTATTTAATTTTTTGTATTTATTTGTACGTAAGTTGCAAGTAAACTTAAAAATTTGTTACTGTGTTTACACTTTTGGGGATATTTAATATGTTTGCAAATAAAAAACACATATTTGGTATGACTAATTATTTCCGAAGTTTGCACACATCTAACAAGCCGTTAAATTAACAAAAATTTTTATTGGTCAGTTATTTGTTCGCACATATTTTTACGAGTTTTCCGGGTTGTTACCCCTGTAACACTTTTTTCCAAGTGCACTTATTGATGCCGACGCTTATTTCTTGTTGCTGGATGACATCGTTGCCCGATTGCCAATGATGTTACTGCTGCACTTTGCTATGCAAATGACTGCTAGAAACTGGCGCACTGGCCGACATCCGATCGTGGATTAAAGAGATCGCCCAGATGCGATTCGATCCACACCCAACCCATCCGATCTGATCCAGCTGTCACGGCCCAATGATCTCGAGATCTTGGATCTTCGTAACAAATTCTCGACTACTTTGGCTGGGATATAAACAATTACGAGCAGGCGCGATTAATGAACTGTAAAATCGAATTCGATCACTGGAACGTAACGAAGCTATATGGCCACAAATCACGAAATGGTGGTACGAAAGGGGTGTGAAAGGCAATTAATTTCGATCATATTTGGCATATTTCACTAAACTTTAGTGCGAAGTCGGTGAAATTATGGGTTCGTGTGCGTTAAACAATGGCAAAGAGAAAGACAAACTGTGAATAGGTTTTCCTCTATTCAAAAGTAACGATTGTTTGGGTTTTGGTTGGTATTTGATGGTGTGTGTATCCATCAATGTGTGGCATTTGGTTCCTACATTTTTGGCATAGAAAATCAGACAATGCACTTCGCTACACTTTTCATTAGGCGGCTCTTTTCAATAGGCCGCCGATTCTGGGCCGCGAATTTCACCTGATTATGCACTCGGTATTGTATCCATTTGATTTGTGCACTTCACTGGGTGTAGTATCTGTTATAGGACTTTATACATCGGATTGAAACCGAGACTCAGACACCTGCGACACCTGCGACCGCTGCGAACTTAAAAACCGAACTGAACGGCCATTCATGCGAGCGGTAAACTCTCGAGCGGCGGGAGAGAAAGTGAGTGAGTGAGTGAGTGGTGCGAAAAACCGGCTTGGAATCGACCGCTCTACTCTCTCTCTCTCTCTCTCACTCGCTCTCGCCAGCGATCCACTTGCAACACTTGCGCTGCTGCAACTGCAACGCTGCAACTGCCGCAGCAGGTTTTTTCATTACTTTTTTCCCCGATTTTTCTTTTTTTTTTTCTGCCCACCGCTTATCGACGCGGCGATTGTTGTCTTTGCCATTCTCATAACTAACGCAAAATTATATCATAGATCATGCCAATAGTGCATAACCACAGGTAGAGATACAGATGCAGATGCAGATACAGATACTTCAGCGGTAGCTTCATATATATAGTAGATATGTATACACACTCTGGGATCCCGAGATACAGATACTGTATCTGGCCGAGCTCTTAACTTTTAACCCGCCTCCCAGACAAGTTCAAGTGCTGGCTGCCCCCCCTTCTACCAAAAAGTTAAAAAAGCCAAAGAAATAAAACAGAAACACAGACTCACCTCAGGTGTAACTTGAGCCTGGCGTATGGGATTTTGCTCGACTGCAATATCTGTATCTGGTTCGGTTTTAGCTTTTGTTTCTCCCGTTGGCTTCGTAGTGGGTTTCTTTGGCTTTTGGCTCGTTTCGTTGGGGTTCGTTTTGGGTTTCGTCGTCGCTGGCACTTTGGCTTCACTCTGCCTCTTCTGCTTCTTGGGACTCTGCAGTGCCAGCAAGTCCTTCCTCAGCAGTCCTATATTACGTTCTTTGGTCTTTATTTCCTCTAGCTGCAATAAAAGATATATTTAGGATCAAGAAATGCCTAAGACGGAGCAGTAAATGACTTAAGTCCCCTTTGGGGTGTCTCATTTCAGTAATGTTTAAACCTTTAACCCAAGGTGTATACATGTATACCTCATCTTGGACTATTGCACTAATGTTTATATTTTCAAGCGAAATATTTTTTGTTTGTTTAAACGTTAAACGATAAGGTGTTGTATACATCATCTTAGACTAAACAACTTATTATGTGTGTTTTTATGGGGAATTTATATAACGGCTTTACCATATCAGGTTCTCCTTTAAATCAATTAAATATGAAGTAACTATTTTAGGGAACCTATTATTCCATATTATTACAAAATACATATGATCAGTGAATCCAAACGTTATAAGCTAGGTAAAATGACCTGTTTTCTTGCTGTGTGCAAATTCAAAATGCATGTATGAATTTCAATGGTCGTATGAAAAGTTGCCCGTCCGCTTCTGAACCGCCGGGTTTCGTTCCGTACCGCTCGGCCCCCTCCCCCTTTCCCCTTCACCATCTCCCTTTCGGCCAACTTTTGGTGACCCGTTAGCAGCCGCTACACGCACAACTTACCAAACGTGTTATTTCAATTTTGGCTGATTTCTGTATGTGAGTCAATCGGTTTTCGTACGCGTTCTTCAATTGCCGCATATCGGCAGCCTTGAGTCTATCAGCCTGCCCCATAATCTGCAAGAAACGGTCGAATCATATACTACATATGCGTGCTGGCAACTTTGGAACTGGGGACTCCAAGCAGCGGGAGAGGCCAGAAGCAAGTTAATCCATGCTGTTAGTTTGCACTTTGCGATTAGGTCGCACATCCATTAACCAAACGAGACACAAAAACACACAAAACTGCTACAAAAATGCCACAAAAAGAACGGGTAAGGAAAGTTCTTAGCTCAGTCGAAGAATCGCATACCCTTTATAAGGTGCGCATGTAAAAACAGAAGGGAATAATTAAATTTGAATATGGAAAACACCCAAAGACTTTCACTCTGTCGGTGGTTAACCTTTTTAAAATTCAACGCATATTCTAGAGCATTAGAGAGTGTTTAAAATGTAAATTTGAAATGTTATATACAGATTTTCGACGAAATTTAAGCAGATTCGTAGAAATAGATTCTATTATTTGTTAAAAACATTATTTAATAAATTAGATAAGCAAAATCGGTATATTATTAAACTAAATAAATATAAACAAACTGAAACCACTGACTAAAACCAAAAGGTCCTTCGAAGGATATATAAAGTGCAGAAGATATGGCACAATATTTGCTTAACGTCCTTCGGCGATATGGCAAGCATTAACGAAATTGCTATATCGAAATTGGCTCTGGGTATAAAAACAAAGGTGCCATCGTTGTGGGCAAACAGTTGGCATTGCAATGTCCATTCAGTGGTTAAGAAATCTCCTGCTTCTCATAATCCTGGCCCACCTGGCTGGGGCAGGTGAGAATCGCATTCCGGTGAACATGAAGAAGAGTTCCAACTTGATGGTCAAGATGAGTGAAATCCTCTGCATAGCGAAGGTCAAAGTGATCTTCGTGTACTTCGAGAACCAAACATCTCACGAGCACACCGGTCAGATTCTGCGAGAGGTGACCAAGTGCGACATATCCTACATATCCCTGAGGTATGATATAAACTTCCTTGAAATCCATATAAAGTCCATATACGATTGGTACATTAGAAACACTTAGTTTCAAGAAATATTATTATATTTCAGAAATCAAAATGGACCCCTGGAGGCGGTCAAGGATGATGGGATACTCATGTACATGGTGATGATTATAACGAACATATCGCAACCTTTGGAACTCTCGCTCATTCGCAAGAAATCGGCCACCAAGCACCGATCGCATGTTTTCCTCTTGGTAAGAGATGCCGACACCGTTTCCGATGCCTGGATGCGGGCAAGTTTCCGGCAATTCTGGAAGATCTGGCTCTTAAATATAGTGATCCTCTACTGGCGAGATAATCGATTGTATGCCTACCGGTACAACCCCTTTACGGACAACTATTTGATACCGGTTGACAACAACGCAAATGGAGTGCCCACTCTGGAGCAGCTTTTTCCCAAGACCATACCCAATATGCAGAGAAAACCCCTGAGGATGTGCATCTACAAGGACGATGTGAGAGCTATCTTCTGGAAGCAGGGAATTATTATTGGTACGGATGGCCTGCTGGCAGGGTATGTGGCTGAGAGATTAAACGCCACCATGATGATAACCCGTCCGCACTCCTACAATAACCACAATCTCAGTTCGGACATATGTTTCTTTGAGGTGGCCAGGGAATATGTGGATGTGGCTATGAATATTCGCTTTCTGGCTCCGGATACCTTCAAGAAGCAGGCGGAGAGTACGGTTTCCCATATGCGCGATGATCTCTGTGTGATTGTGCCGAAAGCCAAGACGGCACCCACTTTCTGGAATATATTTCGATCATTCGGCACATCGGTTTGGGCCCTGATTCTGGCCTCTGTTCTGGTGGGCAATGTTTTCTGCTACATTTTGAAGGCCGGAGTGGGTGGTGCTCCCATGCAACTTTTCGCCGGAGCCCTAACTATGCCCATGAACAACATTCCGCGGAATCACTCGCTTCGATTGTTTCTGATCTTCTGGCTTTACTTTGGACTGCTCATCTGCTCGGCCTTCAGGGGTAATCTAACCAGCATGATGGTGTTCCAACCTTATCTCCCGGATATAAACCACTTGGGAGGCTTGGCCAGGTCCCACTATCGCATTCTCATTCGCCCGAGGCACTTGAAACACATCCAGCACTTTCTGACCCTGGGACATAAGTACGAGTCTAGGATTCGGGAACAAATGCTGGAAGTTCCGGACGCCCAGATGTATGAAATGATGAAGAACAATGATATCAGGTGGGTGAAGTAATTTTAGAAAGAGACCTATAACATAGTTCTGATATATTCCCCAGATACGCCTATTTGGAGAAGTACCACATCGCCCGTTTCCAGGTGAACAATCGGGTGCATATGCACCTGGGCCGGCCCTTTTTCCACCTGATGAACAGCTGCCTAGTCCCCTTCCACGCCGTTTACATCGTTCCCTACGGATCGCCCTACCTGGGCTTCCTGGACTCGCTGATCCGGAGTTCGCATGAGTTTGGATTCGAGCGATATTGGGATCGCATCATGAACTCCGCCTTCATAAAATCGGGTGTGAAAGTGGTCAACCGGCGGCGGGGCAGCAGCAGTGACGATCCCGTGGTCCTCAACTGCAGCATTTTCACGCCGTATTCGCACTCTGGGTGGTGGGGATCGGTCTGGCATGCATCGTGCTGGTCTGGGAGCACTTGACCCACAACTACAACTTGGCGGTAACAAAGCGGCGGCACTAATTGTCGCATGCAACATGCAACATGTGATGATTGCGATGATGATGTGGCAGGCACTTACCTGGGTCTTCTCCTCCTTGCTTCGGTTCGCTTCCTTCAGCACGGCGATCTCGTTAGTCAGTCTTTGGATTTCATAGTTGATGAGGCCATCGGCGGTCACATGAGTGCCGGCCGATTCTGGGCCCGATTCGGTGGCCTTCTTTATCCCATTGCTCTTCTTGGCAATGTCCAGCGTTTGCTGCAGCTTCTTCACTTCGCTCTTCCACCGACGACTATCTGCGTCGTTTTGAGCCCTGATGGGGAGAAAGGCGATGAGTTCAAGGTTTTAAAAAAATTACACCCAGAAATAACAAGATCATAAATTAACAATATTGCATAAAATTTAAGAAATTAACTATTCCCTATTTATTACTTAAGTAATGCAATGCTGTACCATCGATATAATTTTAGAGAACATCAATAAAGATATAATAACCCTGTGAATCTGCGTATGTGCTTTGTAAAGTGTAAAGTCAGAAATCAGATGTTTCCCCGAATTGACAAACGTCACAATCTGTAAATTAGTCTTTGTGTGGCTGCACATATAGGTTTATTTATATTTGCACTCATTCTTATATACATTTGCTGGTGACAGATTAAATTCTTAGTTTACTGATTGTCGATCGAGACTTAAATCAAGGGTCATTGAAAGCGCATGTGCTCATATACAAGATTTAAATAAAGTATATTAAATTAAGGTATACGTTATAAATTAAAAATTAAAGATTAAAGCTATTAGAATATGATGTTTAGATATTACGACTTATTTCATTAAAATGCATTTTCCATTTTTTTAAATCTTAGTAAATATATAAAACTCACCTTAGGGCCCTCACTGCTCCTCGTTCTGTGATCAGGCTGGACTTTAGTTCATTCACCTCCAGACGAAGTTGCTCGTGAGGGCGTTTAGCTTCTGGATGGTGTCCAGATTCTCCTGCAGCTTTCTCTTTATCCTCTGCGGAGGTGCTGCTATCACATTTGTGGTCGTCACACCACCAATTATTACGGGTCGTTCCCGCTCTTTTTCAATCTTTCCCATTTCTTGGATGATCCTGTAGATGGGCCCTTTCGGCCTCAAAGGATTCCGTATCCTTGGGTCGCAACTTCCCGCGACAGTGCAGCTGGATACCCTCGATGCGGGTTCGCTTCTCCTGATTCACCGTATCCCCCACGGAGGTCAGGGAGGTGCTCAGCTTCTTCTTTCGCTTCAATTTGTTCTTGGCCAGCGTTTGCCAGTCCTCGATTTCGTGCTTTTCCGTGTGGAAGCCCTCTCTGAGTTTGGAGCCCGGATCCGTCCTGCGAACCACAGTCCCATTGTGGGGGCCAGGATATTGGCGGTCCTGCTCCCATTGCATCCCTTGCTAGAGGTCGTTTTGGTTTGGTTTTCAGCCATTTTTATGTAACTTCAGTATATAAAAATGTTGCCGTCGTTTTTTTGGGTTTCTGCTTTTTCAATACTGCATATGCGGTTCACTCCGACCCTGCCGAAAGTCCCTGCTATACTTCACCTGGTCATCGTTGGATTCTCCTCAATCTGTAATTAAAAATTTGGTATTCGAAATCAATGCAGAATATTTTATGTTTATATATATAAAAAATAATTATAATCGGTTTTTTTTAAACGGAAACTCATTTTTAAATAAACATTGCACTTAGAAGTCTTTAGAATATTAAAAGTGCATTATCATAAAAATAAATACGTAGTTCAACCACAGAAATGGTTCTGAATTTTAAATTTCCTTATTTTTTACGAATATAAATAATTTTTAAACATTTTTTCAGAAAGGAGGTTACATATTTCATCTGAAGTGCAAAGATTCCCCTTTGTCTGGCTGCATTTCAATGGCTTCTGTTTAGCCGTTGACTTCTCAACGCTTTTCTTCGCTGCCCTGAACTAATCAACAAGTATCCCCCATTATTGATTTCCACGGAAAAGCTTTTTCTTTCATTTCGCCACAACGGGTAGGGCCACACATGAATGAAAAAAGAAACATATAGGCACCCTGGGACTGGGAAACAGTTTACAACGCGAATTGCGTTGGGTTTACCAAATAAACTGGTCCCGAATGGCCTTTCCTAATGACGTCATGTGGCGCGCCTTTTGGAATAGAACCAGAATACATGTGTTCTTTTCTGTTTCCCCTCTGGGGGCTCTTTACACGCAATAAAACCGTTTTTCATTACTTTTTTGTTTTCTAGAGCAGAATTCTTTGCATTGCTCCCACATCCGCCCCATAGATTATAACAAAGCATCTATGTATATATTATACTGTATGAGGTGCACACACGATTGGGGCCCTCAGTTCATAAAATGCTCTCCGAGAGTTCTGCCCGATCATCTTTATCAAGGCCGCGATCTATATATGTAGAGCGACATATGTGTGTACTTAGCAACCTTCTGGCGCTTAATTGGAATTTGATTTGTTTTTCCAGCACGATCCATTAAGTGTTAGGAGGGAGGGACTTAAGTGGATGATCCCCAAGTTTATTGTTGTAAAGAAACGGTATTTTTAGAAGATCTATGCATTTTACCTTCAAGATTTATTGGGACACTCGATCAACTTCGATCCATTAATAAGAAATCTTTACCATAGACAGATGTTCAACAAAATTGAAAATTTGTAAATGCATGTATCTAATAACTATCCTAAAACATGTTACAATTTCAACAGTGATTGTTAAATGGTAATGATGTTTAGTTTGTGGTGTAGGTTTACAATATCATGTTTACTTTTATCCCCTCTTTCACACTTTAAGGCTGGGAATGATAATGGCTCTCTTGTTGCATTTAATTTAATTAAATTAAAAACCGCTGACCCAGTCAACTCGTTAATAAAGTGTTTTTGGGACGACATACACGCCATGGTGACATCACAGCCTCGATGTGACCGGCTTGGATGGGATTGGTTTTGTTCGAGCGAAGCCACCCACTCGGTTTCCATCCACATCGTACACATGGGCAGATGAAAGTCTCTTTTTGCTCTTTAAGTATGTATACTTTCAGACATATATCATTTTAAAAATATTGCCAAACGATGAGTCGGTCAGCCGTCGAGAGTACAGTCTTTCGGCTGATTCACTGAAGATCACGTATACGCACCATTAGCTTCTGAAATCCTTGGGCGTCGTAGACCAAAGTTTGGCGTGCCTCAAACTTTTGTATATTCACTCACTCACTCACTCAATCGCTCAACGATGTTGTAATGTAAACAGTTTATTTACTGCCTGTTTACCACTGTTTCTTACAGTGCAATGACGTCAATACGTTAATTTCAATAGACTTTTTTCGCGCACAGACCAAGTAAAATATTGTCGGTATGTGGAGCAGTTCTTCGACAATTGCTTGGCCAAATTTCCTATATTTCTTTTAAATAATTCACAGAGTTCGTTACACACAGGAAGTTCGCAATATTTCCAAGTAGTTACACAAGTTCGTCGGTATGTAAGTGAGTTATGTTCGGTTCGTTGGGGAGTATCTTAATTAGTTGCAATCAATTTAAATTTTAAATTAAAAGAAGTGTTCTATACTAGGTGAAATTTCGTTTGCTCGGCGATAGCAGAGATCTTTCGTTTCGGCCGGACACCGATTGACTAACTCGGCCTCTCAAGCTTTCGCAAGCTCTTTCACATTTGCCTCCATTTCCATTTAATTAAAAGGAGCTTTGCCATTTACTCATGCAATTCTTGGGGCTACGGGGTGGTAAAGCTCAGGCCTGTGTGCGTACCCGCCAACCGAAGAATGGCCGACGTAAAGCCGGAAGAGCCAATTTATTGAAAGCCGAATTCATTTTCCTCCCGGTTCCCGTATTCATAACAAAAACAAACCCGCCGCTCGCGTATTAATAACCGAGATATGCACACAACCGCTCCGAATTCGGTCAAAATAGAAGCACACCGAAAAAAAGATAACTAAAATGATGATCGATGAGATATTAATTCAGGAAATGTAATATTAAGATATGATATGATTTGCTACCCAAAGAAACTTTTTTAAGATAAAAGTAGTTACATTTCTAACCAATTCTTTTTTAATTACCTATTTTAATGAATATGTTTTAAACGCTTCCGTGTGCTTTAACTTGCTTACTTGGTGATATAGCACCACTAAGAACTTGTGCTAGTTTATGATAAAGTTCCATCTTAAGACGTGACATAAAAGTAGTTGACACCTGCATGTGCATACTTATTTGTTTAGAACATATCATATATATTAAATATCCCAATTTTATCGCAATAAAAACTCGAAAGTAAATCATTTAGTTTGTAAACTTAATGCTACTATCTGATCCCCCTCTTGATACGTATATCTTTGAACGAATGACCCCCAACAGCTGGAACTCTACAAATCACACACAAATTTGACAATCGCCTTAACGACACGATGAATGATGGACACAATTAGAACACATTCCGATTCCAGTCTGTCAACAGAGTGGAAATCTAAATAAAAGCACAAAAGGGGAACAAACTTTGCACTGTGGATTGAATGCCTTATCAAGTGGGAGCCACAATACACTCTGCTTACTCACTATTTGCATTTCTTTCATAGCCAGTTTTCCGACAATAAGAATCCTGACTCGTTTCGTAATCACTTCGCGATTTGTGGGCTAGTTTCCATTGGCATCTCTCTTGGTCCGTTGTCGTCGTTAGGAGGAGTCTTGGGCAACTAAAATTCCAATTCCACATGACCGAATTAGATTTAGACTGCCTGCTTCCATTTGAACCTAATTGCGTTTGAATGCTCTATCGTTTTGGCCTTTTGACAACTCTTTTATTTTCCATTTAATTGCTGCTCGGTGCACAACTCACTCAAGTTGAGCGGTAGGAACAAACTGAAGATGCGGCGCACATTCTAAAATGGAATAAGCGACATGCGTGCGTGCATCGCCAAATTTATATAAATAGAAAGAATCACAAATCTATATTTGAAGTTAGGAGCAATTTCAAAAAACCGCTCACCGGTCAACGGTGACGTCACAGAGATATCGATGACATTTATGTCGATTACAGCGATTAATTCCAATCTGTATTTTGTAAAAACATTTTTAAATAAATTTATTTAGTTTACAAAGGGTATTTTGTGAACTATTTAGAAAATCTAGGAATAGTCATAAATATGTAATATTTTAAGAAACTAAATTGCCATTGATATTTACTGTCGTAAAAAAATATAAAAATAACAATAAATCCATGGGTACTCACTGTAAGCTTAGCACTCTGTATCTTGCTAGCCAAATAAAAAATATTTTAAATTTCCCTCAAAAGTGCGCCAATGGCTCCACAAACGTTCACACTGGCCGCAAACATCGATTAAGACCGAAGTAAAATCGATTCATCGATAGGTCCATTACTCATCGCGGAAAACGTGAACGAAAAGCAAGTTGCCGCCTGTCTGCTAGGAACTTTATTGTTTTAAACTGTTTTACGAGGAAACGGCCAGCCCCATCACACAAATATGGTGAGTCCTGCCGTAAATAACCGGGGGATGGCCAGGGATCCTGAATCAGGGACTCCGCTGCAAGCGGCATGCGATTGTAAACATAACCTGCAAAGAAGCTTCTCGCAAGCCGACGACATCTGCTGACTAATTGGAGACTTTAACTATATATTTCGCTCTATCCGACCGATCCTCAGCAACCGCAAATCGTGCTCCTGAAGGAAGGCACCGACACGTCGCAGGGCAAGCCGCAGCTGGTGTCCAACATCAATGCCTGCCAGTCGATCGTGGACGCGGTGCGGACCACCCTGGGTCCCCGCGGCATGGACAAGCTGATTGTGGATGCCCACGGCAAGGCGACGATCTCCAACGATGGGGCCACCATCATGAAGCTGCTGGAGATCATCCACCCGGCGGCCAAGACCCTGGTGGACATTGCCAAGTCACAAGATGCCGAGGTAAGCGGTTGCCCCTCTCCAGAAAGCCCAAGCACGTGACTCTACTCAAACTTCGATTTGGCTATTTCTCCAGGTTGGTGATGGCACCACGTCCGTGGTTCTGCTGGCCGGCGAGTTCCTTAAGCAGGTGAACCCTTCGTGGAGGAGGGTGTCCACCCGCGCATCATCATTAAGGCCATCCGCAAGGCCCTGCAGCTGTGTATGGAGAAGATCAACGACATGGCCGTCCAGATCGTTGAGCAGTCCAAGGAGGACCAGGTCGCTCTCCTCGAGAAGTGCGCGGCCACTGCCATGTCTTCCAAGCTTATCCACCAGCAAAAGGACTTCTTCGCCCGCATTGTGGTAGATGCCGTGCTCTCGCTGGATGAGCTGCTGCCCCTGAACATGATTGGCATCAAGAAGTGACCGGTGGATCGCTGGAGGAGTCGCAGCTGGTGTCGGGCGTGGCCTTCAAAAAGACCTTCTCCTATGCCGGCTTCGAAATGGCACCCAAATCCTATGACCAGTGCAAGATTGCCCTGCTCAACATTGAGCTGGAGTTGAAGGCGGAGCGCGATAATGCCGAGATCCGCGTGGACAACGTCAAGGAGTACCAGAAGGTGGTGGACGCCGAGTGGCAAATCCTCTACAACAAGCTGGCCAAGATCCACGAGTCCGGAGCCAATGTGGTGCTTTCCAAGCTGCCCATCGGCGATGTGGCCACACAGTATTTCGCCGACCGCGACATATTCTGCGCCGGCCGCGTACCCGATGAGGATCTCAAGCGCACAATGAAGGCCTGCGGTGGCGCCGTATGACGACGGCCAACGATATAAAGCCCAGTGTTTGGGCCTGTGCGAGCACTTCGAGGAGCGCCAGGTCGGCGGAGAGCGATTCAATCTCTTCCAAGGTAAGGATTTCCGAATTAACTCATAAGTTTAAGAGATTCTACCATCTTCTTACATATTTTCCATTAGTTTACCTTTTAGTCTCAATAAAGTAAGCTTACTTAATTATTCTTATTCTCAACAGGCTGCCCCAATGCCAAGACGAGCACCCTGATCCTGCGTGGTGGTGCCGAGCAGTTCCTGGAGGAGACGGAGCGCTCTCTCCACGACGCCATCATGATTGTGCGCCGCACCATCAAGCACGACTCGGTTGTAGCCGGAGGTGGTGCCATCGAAATGGAGCTGTCCAAGCTGCTGCGTGACTACTCGCGCACCATTGCCGGCAAGGAGCAGCTTCTGATCGCCGCCATCGCCAAGGGTCTGGAGATCATTCCACGCCAGCTGTGCGACAACGCCGGTTTCGATGCCACCAACATTCTCAACAAGCTGCGCCAGAAGCACGCCCAGGGTAAGTGTTCCAAATTACTCATAAGTTAACCATTTCTAGGCAATTCAGGGTTTTCAATTTCTGTTCTGTTCTTTAAAGCGATGAATTATTCACAACTCGTATTTATTTAAAAGTATTTACGGATACTTTAAACTATTTATTTTAAATCATGTTAGGTTTCTTATTAGATAGTTGAACTCGACTTGAAAAATATTTATTATCAGCTTTAAATGGTGTTATATGACTTTTTCGTCCATCAATAGTCTAAGAAAACCATTTTGGTGCACTTGTTACAATAATTGGTCCCCTTAACTGTCCGTCTGCTTATTTCTTGAGCTGCTCATGCCAGAGCCGGAAACATGGCTCCTGGCACAACCCGGTTTGTCCGGACAGGAGTTGCACATGAACTTGCTAAACTGCAGCATCCCGCCTTTGTGGCAATGGCGGCAGTTCTTCCGTGCTGGTTTTCCATTCTGCTCAATGAGCACAGGTTCGTGCCGGGTGGTCTTCATCTTGGAGTCAGCCACCAGCTTGTTCCTAACCTTATCTGGTTCCTCCGACTTCTGCGGACTGACAACCACGGCTTCGTTGATCACTTCTTCCCTTAGGAGTGACTTGATTATGGCCACCCGGAACTCCGAGTAACTTTTGAGATGACCGCCTCGCGGATTCTGCCCGTTGGCCAAGTACAACAAGTAGGCATTGTAGACGAGGATGTTGAGTAGGAAAATGGCAAGTTTCTTGTCCGCCGGGAGCTCCTGGCATGCTGGTTGGTAATGGATCAGGTGGTGGCGACTCTCGTTGGCAGGTCGCAGTTGCCAGTCCAACTCCTGGATCAACTTGGGCCTTGCGTTCGTCTTCTGCATGGACAACTCCTTTGCATAAATGGCCAAACAGTCGGAGCTGAAGAAGTACAAGCTCTTCGCCCGACGGCGCCACTTGGCCATCATCAGGGAAGTGGCGTAGCTAGTGGAGATACTGTTGCTAACCAATCGCTGATGCACCAGCGCCTTGCTGTTGCCATATCTATTCCTGTCGAGCAGACCAGTGCAGTAGGTGCTCCTCTTGGCCAGCTCGTGGGCCAGGCCATAGCTGCCGTAGAACTTTGAGACGTACACGGTGCGTCCTCCCTGGTAGTCCTCCATGAGCTTGAGGGCCAACTTGTTTCGGTGCTCCACCAACTGCCGGGAGTTGCGTACCCATGCCGGAGCATCCTCCTGCCGCACAATCTCCGGCAGAAGTTTCACCACCAGGCCACTCTGCTCTGTTAGCATGTGCAGCAATAGTGAGTTGGTGCGAAATTTGTTGGGCAAATCCTCTTGATAGCTAAATTTACCCTTCCACAGGGTGATGGGATCGTTGAGCACCAGTTGCTGGCCACAGACGTATAGGTCCTCCATGCGTTCGTTGATGAAGTTTAGGAGTGGGAAGTCCTTTGACTTGGTCTTGCCCGCTTGAGAGGGCAATGCATCAAAGTTAAGGCATCGCAGCAGCTGCTGATAGCGTTCTAGGGTCATCTTTCCAGTGAAACCCACAAAGCCGTAGAACATGTTAGTGCTCCAGTAATCCGAGAGGTGATCCAGCTTCAGGTCACTCATGAGCAGGGAGAGGGCCACAAAGGTTTCCATTTCCTCGGCAGTTGTGGGCTGGGACTTGGATGCTCCTCCCTTAAGATTGGAGCTCTGAGCCAGGGAAATGAAGAACCTAGAGCGGTTGCCCAGCAGCTGGTTGAAGTAGTGCTGCGGACACTGGAAGCGTTTACCAAATTTAAGGCCAGTTTGCTGGCTGGGAGTGGGGAACTTGAAGAGCAACCGGGAGCCCGTCTGTTGGCTGCTCCAATCCGGGTCGTAGTCATCCGTTTCGTCTGTTTTATTTTGAGAGGGCGGAGAGAAGTTTACATAAGTGGTGGGACTAAGAGGGTGGGAGGGGCGGCAACTAACCCTGACAGAAGACATCCGCCTCGTGGTAGTTGAGTTCCGAGTAGCCATCCTCGTCGGAGTCGCTCTCCTGGTGTTCCAATTCCGAGCGACTGGCGGTGGTGTCCGCCTGCTGCTCCACCGCCAGCTGCAGCTGGAGCTCCGTGAGATCCGGCTTGATGTCCGCAGTGCTCAAATCGTAGTCGGCCAGCGCCGGATAGCCGTCCAAAGGTTCCGTCTTGATGTCCACACTGCGCCGCTTTACCGGCGACCGGTGGTCATCCTGTCGCGGCTTCAGCTGCTGCTTGCGCTTTCTCCCGGAGCTGGACATTTCGTCTGGCTTGGTTTTCTTCTCAAATTATTGTAAATATTGTAAACAGCGGAAACTTCTGCAGCAGCAACGCGTGTTTTTCTTCGACCTCTCTGTTTCTCGCCCTCTCTCGCTCGAGTCACATGTGCTGTAGTGTGTGCTCTTTCGCACCTCCTCGATTCGTCTGTTTCGCGGGCTGCCAGCGGTGTTGCCACCTGTGCGAAATGTTGCCATCGGAATGCGGTGGGGAATTCGAAATGTTAAACTGATTTAAAAATGTAGTTCACATAAGCGATCTTGAATTTAGTAAACCATTGATATAATAGTAATTTATTGATAGTATAGGTTCAAAAGATTTAAAGTTGTATTACTTAAACTTTAAAAACAAGTATTTCAATACTTATACTAATTTACTTGATTTATTGCAGGCGGCCAATGGTTCGGCGTCGACATCAACAAGGAGGACATCTCGGACAACTACGAACAGTGCGTCTGGGAGCCGTCAATCATCAAGATCAACGCGCTGACGGCGGCCGCTGAGGCAGCCTGCATGATCCTTTCCGTCGACGAGACAATAAAGAGTCCCAAGGCCGGGGAACCCCCAATGGCGGGCGGCGGCATGGGAATGGGTCGCGGCATGGGCAGGCCCATGTAAATAACCTCATTCAAAAATCCAGAGAACTCTACGCACCCTTATCATCAACACACATTTCTCTCCTAATTTAACACGTACACGTATTACTCGGTCACACCTACGCATTTCGCACGCTTTGAAGCCAGAACAACAAGAACAGCAACAATAATCCACTGACCTATCTGTATATGTTTAATAATAAAACAAACAAAATTGAAAACATATTTTCATAACATAAAGAAACGTTTTTAATTTCAACCGGGGACGAGGTTGCCACTCTCTTCAGCGAGTGCTGTTAGGCTGCTTACGTGCTGTTAGGCGCAAGCATTTTAATTGTTGATCCAATCCGTCCCGTAAATAAACAATAAACAATGGGTAATCACAAAGTCCTCCGATCGGCGGGCAGCAATCTGCGTTACTCAATGTACGAGTTTATTGATGCGGTGCACAAACGCACGATTATATGGCAGCGAAGGCATCCGAACTTTCACAACCGGGAACTGAGGGATCAGGCCTGGCAGCAAGTTGGCCAGGAGCTATGCTTGAATTTTGAGGCCTCCAGCGAGCCGGAGAAGCAGGAAATCGGTTTGTTGTGCTTCACAATTGAAATCTTCACATTATTCATATGTATACCTCGAATCCCCAGTGAAAACCCTGCTTAAACGCTGGAAAAACACCAGGGACAGCTATTTGCGGGTCAATCGGCTGCGTCAAAATGGCGAGGAGGTGGCCAGAGCATCTTATATCTACGAAAAGGAGCTCAGTTTCCTGCATGACGTGAAAGGCGAATCGGAGGACGATGAGGAGCCCTTGAAGGAGGAGCCCAAGCCCCCGTTGAAACGGAAACGCCAGAGCGCCTCCCAGAGATCCGCAAAGATCCGCAGAAGGAGGAACAGCGGCCAGGAAACGAGTTTGGAGGACGCCACCAATAGCCCATCCATTTCGGAAAACCTGCAATCGGTTCTGGAGGATCTGACCTATACAAGCCAGGATACTACACCTCCTGAGATCATATCTCTCACTCAGGTTCCGCCAGATGCACCCTGTAGTACAAATACCGCCGCCACATCCGCTGATCCCGACCAGGCCTTCTTCGACACCATTAAGCCCCACATGCAACGGATGGACGCCGATCGGAAACTTGACTTTCAGATCGAGGTCCTGAAAATACTTCGAAATTTTAAGCCAAATTAAAAAATAACTACAAAAGCTAAATCATGTGTTTGGCTATGCATTTACATTTACAGTGTATGTAAAGGGTGGCCCACGAAAGATTTACGTTTTAAAATCGCTATAAAAACAACGAGCTTATATTTTTCAAAATTCACAAAACCAATTACAAACTGCCTGGAAGGCGCTTTATTTTTTCCGAATTTTGACCGGAATTTCTTGCAGTTTCGGTTGAAGACTCTCCACTTTGGAAGAAAGTTTTCAATATTTCCAATATTTCAACTTTTCTTCGAGCGTAAACTTAACCATTTCGTAAACGGCCACCCTGTAGGTAACAGCAAGTTAACATGACCATTAGAAGGAAAATAATCGTTATCGTATATCGCTCTTAGCCCATGGCGCGAATTTTGAACACTGTTTTGTAGATTTGCACGATTGAAGATAAGACTGCATCGCTGGAAGAGCTCAAGGCTTACCGAAAATGCTTATGGAAGTGCTTGAGGATTGGAAAAACGTTGCATAAGGTATGTATCTGAGGGGATTACTTTGAAGGACAACATTAACATTGATAAATAATTAATAGTTTTTCTTGAAAATACAAAGTCACCTTACTTTTTGAACACACTCGTATGTTATTTACATACAAAACTGTTTATTGTCTGTATTGGTTTTTACAGGAAACTTGTAGTGCTTTAGTGTTTAAATAAGCAAATGATACTGAATTTATAGAAGCGGGTAATAATTATTTAAAGATCATCTTTGGTTTAAACATTAAATTAAGCAGAAAGCTAAAATACAATGCTCAAATAAAATGGTAAATTAGTTTCAGAATAAGATTTGCATTTTTTATTGGTATAAAAAAAAGCATTTTTTGATAATACGGGTACTTATTTTCAAATGGTGTATATGGAAGTAATTGATAATTTTATACAAATTGTTTGCAGTCCTTTCCATGCAGCTGCCTAAGAATAATCCCTTGTTTGGCCGGGATGCTTTCCCAATACATATTTATCGCCTGCAGCGAAATTTTAGTACAAACATAAACTGTCAAAAAGATACATAAGCCATCGGATGGCCTGTGTTCCAAAGCGGTCCGACCAGTTTCGGTTGATGTTGATAAAAAAGAGCTTAAACCTGTATCCATACAGCTTGTCCCTCTTATGCCAATCGAGTTTCCATAATGTATACAGATTTCTTCATGGTTTTTGCTCAACACAAAGGCAAATTTATGTATTTTACGAGTGTATTTATAAGTCCATACTTCAGTCGACACCCCTAAAAAAGAAATAACTGAAAACAGTTAGGGAAGCCGTAGGGGTAACTCCGAGATTTGGATTCGGTGTCGCCTTTCAAGCGTTCCAGACTGTTGGATGTTTCAGGAGTACCTCCTATGGGGGGTATGGAACTGGAACCGTTACCCCGAAAACCCGCCCCCACACTCCACATGACAAATGTTGCTCGAACCGAGTTGATAATGCTGTTCTTCTCGGGGTCCCCCGTCCCATTTCCCACTTAACTGCATATGGTTTTTGGTAGTGTTTGTTTCGGGTTTCGGAAATTTCAGACTGCGATCGGGACCCTACCCTCCACTTCACCCATTAGCAACGGCTCTGGCAGCTGTTGTACGCTATTAAATGCTCCCTTAGATCCTCGAATCCGACTACCTGCATCTGCTGAATGGAAAAACACTCGGAAAAAACCAGACGAATGTACGAGTTTAGATATTGTCTGGTCTACACTTCATATTAAACACTATACAAGGAAATATATCGCTAAATTATTTGCCAACGAATGTTCTATTAGCACGAATAGCTTTTGACTAAAATGGTTCTACGTGGATTAAAACTCTCAACCAAGCAGTTATTATCAGCAAAATTTTGGAAAAATTGTACTCCCTATCAATCAAAATTTAACATTTATTTTGATAAGGGACAAACAAAACATGATAAAAGTCACAAATATAAATTAAACTGGAAATTATCAAAACAGCTTAATAGATTAACAATGAGGAATTGATTTTTCTAAAAGATTGTACATTTAATTAAAATTTGTAACATACTTATTTTTTAAGACTGCTTATAATTCTAGATCTTACTTTTATAACGTAACCAGCGGCTTAAAAAAATTGTTTACTGTGTATTAAGGCATTCCCAGCGTATGTAACGTATTTTCATGCCCTAACGAAACCGGGCACCGAAGGAGATTTAGGTTTTCTACCCCTGGAATTCTCTCCACTCTTGTACCTGTAGCAATTCTGGGCATTTCAGTGAAATAGTATAATAGACAGGAAGTCCCTTCGATGGCTTTTGTGCCTTTCAAGGGCCGTGCCGCCCTAGTAGATGATCGTGCAGAGATTGTTTTGTCCAATGATGCTGGTCTTTGTCCTGTCCTATCCTAAAACTATATTCCTAGCATTGTCTGAGGGACCAAAAGCCCTGGGCAAATGAGCTCGGCTCAGGTGGAGTTATCCAGAAGAACCACCTGCGTGTTTTGATATCTCTGCCAGGCACTCTCCGCCTGCCCTAAATATTCCCGATCTCCTGTCTCTTATTGGGAAGATCGTACTTCTCCAGAGCTAGCTTCAGGAGTACGTATTCAAGGCTGCGTACTCCACCGAAGTTGTTCGGATCCCTTAGGTTATCCACTAGGGCAACGAACTTTCTGAGCAGCTCCACCAGCTGACCAAAGTTGGTCAAATCCTCAAGGGCAGCATCCACTTCGTTGACATAACGAAGACTCAACTTGATTCTCCTGGCCAGATCGGAACTCCTGCCCGCCAGGGGTGACAGCTCTGTATTCAGCTGCTGCACAGATCTTCGCGTATCGATCACTTTCTGCAAAGTGTCCTGATTATACCGATCCTGATCAGTCCACTGGGCCATCGGAGACCTGGTAGTCGTTCCTTCATTGTCCACCATTGACATCTGATTGTTTTCCACCAGAATGGTCTTGTCGATGGTGTCTGTCGCGTTAGGTGGCTGCTTCACATGGAAGTCCAGGGTGAAGTAGAACCGCACGTTACCCTGGAGGGATTAGATCTGATTAAGTATCTCCATAGAAATATCATCACAAAATACATGCCTGCACCAAAGTTAGAGCTCCTAGGACCATTAAAACACTCATAGAGGAACACATCTTGCCGGCGATGTGGGAAATGTTTGACTGATTCCAAGTCGAGATCTCGCGATCACACCACTTCGTACAATCCAGGCTCGGCATCGGGGCTTATCAAGCCGCGGGGTTATCACATCGTTCCCACTTGACCGATAACAGATCCATTCAGTGAGTTTTCTGGCAACAGCCAGGAGAGCCCTCGGCGTGAGGAGCATTTTCCATTGCCAGACAAAGCGCTA